GGGGGGAGACGGTGGGGTTAAGTTAAGAAAGCCTGCAGGGCGCGATAACAGAACCCAGATTCTGGCGGCTTCTTGTGATCCGCCTTGCTTTCTGGTCTCCTCCTCCTCCTGCTCTTCGTATGCTACAGTGAGAAGAAGGATGACTTGGGTGTGGTCGGGCGGTCGTCACGTCACTGAGAGAGCGACAGAAAGAGAGAGAGGGAGCTGGCGCGCATGCTTTGATGACATTCGTGCGCGCCGTCGCATGCAGTACGCGTGAGCGAACCGCACGTGTCTGTACGCACCTTCAGCGTCAGGCAGCCAATCAGGACGCCAGCTGGCAACGCTACATTGCATTCTAAAGGCCGCGCTTCCGGATAGGTGGAGGATTGAGGCAAATGATGTCACACACACACACACGCTGGCGCACGCAAACGCACACACACAGACACGGGCAGGTCTGGAGCGCGAGCAAAACAAACTGGGATGGGAGCTCGCACCTTCCTCCTCCTGCTCCTCCTCGGCCTCCTTTTTGCCGTTTTCCGCAGCATTCCATTATCTGCTGCTGCTGCTGCTGCTGCTGCTGGTGGCCAGCTTGTCCGTCAAATGTGGCTCCCCTGGTCCCACTGGGGTCTCCTATCTCTGACGCAGCCAGGTGAGTCAAGACTCCTACATGCCTTTTTTAGTTGAAAGCTACCCAAGTTCAAGACCTTTATCGTAACCCTACTTTTATTGGGCGTCGGACCTGTATTCCAAGCTAAAGCTGCCCACCGTTAGCCCGCCAATTACTACTCAAGCCGGTAGAAAGTTCTCTCACTTCTGAGGTTGAGGTTGTTTTCGTGTCTGCCACTCGTTGCCGTGATCTTCCGCACACTTAGACAGGTTTTGGGAAGATAGTTTCTCAGCAGCTGCTGGTGGTTGGTAGACTGTTTTATAAGGAAGTCTTCCTATTGGTTGTTCTTTCGCGAAGGATTTTTAATATAAATTAATAGACTATACTGTCGGTTCTTTAATGGATTTGGTGATTTTGGATACTTCTATTTTGAAGGGAGACCTAGTTTTCTTGAAGGGGGGGCAAGCTTTGCAACATCTATCTCGTGTGCACACGAATAGTTTATTCTTGAGGACCCGTTGTCAGTCTTGGGTTCGGATTGTTTCAGCCGAAGTTCTTCTATCACTGCGGTTTTCGGAGCAATTTAACCCCTGGGAGTGATACCGACACCGCAGCTGTAGGTAAAACTACTACTAAATTTGTCAGTCTGCATGTAGAAATCCTGTTGCACCTCTGTGCTTATCCAGAAATCTCCGCGACAGATTTCCGCCCTCCCGAGTCTCCGATTGCCCATGGTGGAGGTTTCAGCTTCTCAAGGCTGGAAGTTGATGGGTCTGCAAGTTTTCCGATATAAGACTTTATACGCGAAGAAATTGGAACCCCTGACAATAAATGCCTCAAACAAGAGTCTTGGAGTTCCTTGAGTAGGGGTGTTTTACCTGGTAACATTCGCGATACGAGAAAAAAAGAGGGTGAGGTGGTGGGGATGGGGAATCCAGGTAACCAGGTGTTTTCCATTCTACGAAAAGACCTTCCTGGCATAAGTTTGAGGCAAACACATATGGCCGGATTTACTAACAACAGCCAACATCATGGCTGCTTTTAAACTGCATCCTGTTACTTGAATAATGAGTAATTAGAGAAAGGAGTCAGAATTTGCTCAGAAAATCGATCTGAGGGCGGGAATATGCGGGAAATACATAAGATCACGATAGGAGAAAAACACCGGCTTGCAAAAGAGTAGGAAAGTCTACGGATTACCAGGTCACTATCAAGTTTGACATATGGTCTGGCTGTTTGCAGAGGTCGGGCCTTCTCTCTGCGTGTAGAGCTGTGTTCGAGCCGTTTGTGCAGGAGCAGGAATTCTGAAGGCGCATTTTTGGTCGAAAGTATTCACAACCTGGCAGGTACTTCGTCATGAAAGAGCAGACGACTTTTGTCTTCCCTCTTCGAAGGTCGTTTGGGCAAGTGCTCAGATGGCCGGATTGCCAATTGTCCTTGACTCTGACCAGCATACTCGCATGTGAATTCACAGACACAATTTAAGGTGGCACGCATAGCCAAGGCACACTTCGTCTTTTAAAGTGACTTTCGCAGAGCGGTAAACCCACCTTATCCCCCCCCCTCCAGCGTCCCGATGCTGTAAAAGGAATTCCCCCCTATGCATTAGTCAGCCACTGTTATCTTCTCTTGTTTCTGTCCTTCACAGCTGCCACCAGCTCTTTGTCCCTCCCCAATAAATCGCATGCAACTGGAACGCCAGTGCACAGTTTTATCGTTTTCTTAGCAAACATGAAGGTAGCTTTTGATGCACTGCTCGAACTTTACTGGAGTTCGAAAAGAGTCTATTTTCCACGGTATTCTCTTCCCGAAACCATTGGACTCAATTTTACCAAAAGGAAAGAGCACGTTTTGCTCCGGTATCACAAGCAATCCCGTTTTGTTGGCCGAGTTATACTGTGATTGGTTGATTCTTAGCCAGACCGTATCGCTGAGTTGAGATAAGATCTTGAACTTTAGAGCCGACACATGCTTGGCTGCGCAGTGCAGCCGCAGACCTAAAATCGTTTTCCGATTGGACCACGTCTTCATGATAACAAGTTGGGGTGCATGCAGAGATGCAGGTGCCCAGAAGCCAATGCTGTACTAAACTTGACAAAACACAACTGCCACTGTGGTACACGTGACCTTGTGGTAGAGTAGTCTTCATTGTCCAAAGAGTTCAGGTTCGGCTCCGCGAGTCTTCTCGGGCCGGTGACGGCGAATAAGCCAGAGACGGCTGCTCGGTTTTCCCTCGTATTTGTCGGTCACCTGCCCCGAATGTTCCGGCCGTTTGTATTGTTACAGAATTGCGTTTCATGCCCGCTCTGACAGAGTTGTAATGCGGTGTCCTTGAAGGGCGTGCATATTACCATATGACTGTCTTAGTCGACAGCAAGTATAGGAAAACCAAAGGTCCCGAAATTGGAGAATTTCGGTCGAAGTAAACAAACCCCAGCCACCTGTAATATACGGGGCCGGTGATAATAGGGGTTTTTACAGGTGGGGCCGGGGAACGCACAGGCGACGAGGTCAGGTAGTTGTATGCAAAAGAAAAGCTATTGGGAGTGCGCGGTTGTACTTTGAAGGGTTGAGAAATAATTGCCCCAACCCCAATTCCTAATTCTAACCCCCAACCGTAACCGTAACCCACAACCCCAACAGTATTGAGTCCATCAGGTGGGGCTACATAACCACAGCTTACCAAAGTTTCATTTGAAAATCGGCACTCGGCCGAAACTAGTAAAATTCCAAGCTGACGGTAGATGGCTTGAGAGATGAACTAAAAATGCCACAGGCCCAATAAGCCTGCATTTACCATTATACATATGCAACGCACCAGGTCGTTTTAATGCATAGTCGCATTTCCCAACGGCACTGATAAAAGGACTCAGATTCCAGGAAAACTGCAAAAGATGAGATTGGTAGTCCTTCCGAATTCACAGATTTCAAGGGGGGGTCTCGCGTCTGTCCCGACGCTTTTTTGCTATCAGCTGGTGTCAACCAACATGGAATTGACTCGTCGGTGTCAACTGACCAAGGTTCAAATCTCGGACCTAGATGGTCTGTAGATTGTTTACGATGTTGATTAAGCTGCCAACTGCTTTTTTCTTCTCTCTTGTCTTTGTCGGCAACATGTGTCAAGCATAAAAAACAATCCGTTGTCCTGTTTTTTTTCTTCGGAACGCACTTGAGTACTCTTAGTTCTTTGATAGAGATTTGGACTAACGAGTTCATCCTCGTTGGGGAACGAGGAAATTTCGCACGGGCTAGATTCTGGTCCCCTGCTGTTGGCACCCCTTCGACCCGCATGCACCACATCGAAAAACAATCATGCTCTACGCCAACTTGCTAATCCCCAGTTACGAGACACCGAGGCAGCCTGAGACGGTTTCAGAAAAGATCCGTCTGCCCAACTGCGAAAAACCGCTGCCTTGGCAACTACGATGGTGGAGTCGGTTTGACTTTAAACCTGTCTCCCCCACTCAGGGAAGGAAGGAGGAGGGTGGGCGGAGAGCCGTTCGTGAAGCTATAAAGAACGCGAATAAGTGCAACACTACCGTAGCCAACTGGATGGAGGTTGAGAGAGGGAGAGCAGTTTCTTAGAAGGGGATATAGTTGGTCATCACTGTCATCGATCTCTCTGAGGCGTCAGACCGATAGCTTGTCGTAGTCGCGCTCAGAGGCCGCAAGTCTAGTAAACTCGCTATTTTAACACCATGTAGGGCTAGATCGCAGTTGGTAGCCAGACCCCTATTACAGGTGGCCGGGGGGTTTGTTTACTGGGGCTATTTTGTGGGGTTCCATAATCACATCTGACCCATTTGACTTCCGTTTTACGTTTGAGGTTAGGATTAGGGTACCGGTTAATGGTTTTCCATTTTCGGGTTACGGTTAGGGTTTGATGGTATGATTAGGTTTCAGTATTACGGTTAGGTTATTCAGTTACGGCTATGTCTAAGGGCTAAAGTTACGTTTACAATTTCGGTTAGGGTTGCCGTTAGGGTTAACGTTTAAGGTTGAGGTCAGGGTTAGGGCTAAGGTTAGGATTAGGGTTAAGGTCGCCATCTGCCTCCTCATTCCTGGCTACCAACTGCGATCTAACCCCATGAAGTTACCAGAAGTAATGCTTTCCTGGTTATTTATCCTTAGCGTAAGCAGTCAAAATTTCTCAAGACCCTTTGCAACACGAGTGGGGTCCTCACGACTGTAGTACTTCCTCGGGTCTCTAAATAAGCAGGAGGCCCGGTTCTCTACACTAACTGTCCCCCGTACCCGTACCCCGTTCGTGAATCTATAAAGAGCGCGACTAAGTGCAAGACTACAGTAGCCATCTGGCCGGAGGTTGAGAGAGAGGGGGGGGAGGGAGGGAGAGCAGTTTTTTAAAAGGGGATATAGTCAGTCATCACTGCCATCGATCTCTGAGGCGTCAGACCGATAGCTTGTCGTCGCGCTCCGAGGCCACTAGTCTAGTGAACTCGCTATTTTAACACCACGAAGTTACCAGAGGTAATGCTTTTCTGGTTATTTTTCCTCAGAGTAAGCAGTCAAAAATTCCTAAGGCCCTTTCCGACACGAATGGGGTCCTCACAATTGTACGAGGCACAGTTCTCCACACTGATCGTCCCCTGTAACCAAAAGTTATGCATCTCGGCATACTTAGACTGCTTAGATGCGGATGTACTGTCAGTTATTTTTCCATCGAAAGAATTCACAGACGTTCGGTTCGACGCTATGGATCTGCCCGGAAGCCCTGAAGTAGCTTGGGTCAGGGCTTTTTCCTGACTCACTCCCAGTTCCAGTCGAAGACTGGAGACCGGGAAGGTGGCGTAGGAGAGGTTCATGCCCCTCAACTCCGGCGGGTCCAAAATCCAGTCGCCTGAGTGCTAACACAGGTACATTCTAAAGTCCCAGATTTGAATCCTCAGCAGATAGAGGAGCCTGTCCACTAGCCCATGCAACTCATTTTTGCCGAGGACACTTGTCGAACACCAAGGGATCTTCTTCAACCCTCTCAATCTAGTCGCATACGGCAAAAATGAATCCTTTCATCAAAATACACTCAAGTTTTCCATGTTTTTGGGCAGTTTTTTTTAACAACGCATCCAATTTGGTTAAAGGACATAAACTACGCATCTATGTATATTTGTGGCTCAGTTTCGATCTGTTACTGTCGATATCCTCTTCATGGGCTTCTATCACGCCGAAAACAGCGTGAACCGTCGTGCTCTAGGTCAGCCTGTCAGCAGTCATGCCGGTCTGCATATCCCTCGGAGTACGAGTAAGCAAAGTGTTCTGAAACGCTAGCAGAAGAGAGCTGTCTCAACATCTGTCCGCTCCCTATCGTCCACTGTACTTGCGCAGTCGTCTCAGATGTGCAGGAAACGGGAAGTCAGTAGTGCGAGCTACATTGTGCCTATTTGTCCGTATCGTAAGCAGTTTAAAATACCTTTATCGCCTTTACGAATCCCTTATCTCTTACTGCCTCTAGGTGGGGCGGAAATTTTGCATCGAGTGCTATGGAAAGCCCAGTTTTCTATACTGAACTCTCCCCTGAAGGGTCTGCCCGGAAACCCTGAAGTAGCTTCAGCCAGTGCTTTTTTTCTGACTCATTCTCAGTTTCAGTCGATGACTATGAAGGTCGGGGAGACGGCGTAGGCAGGCTTCCTGATTCTCAACTCGGAGACCCGAAATCGGGTCGCTTGAGCCTCAGGCTTGCATCCCTAAAAAAATAGAAGCCTGTCAACTGGGCCATGTGGCAAGTCCACTTAGCACTCATCGGTAAGGGTCTCATGTGTGATAAACGGACTTTATAGTCGGGTACAGTCACTGTCTTATTGACTACCACGAATCGCCGCTGAGACACTCTTCTAGTCGCCAAGAAGAGCCATCAACGCCATGTGATTAGGTTCACACGAGCCGCAGTGGCGTAGAGGAAGCTATTGAGGTGTCTTTCGCGGGTCTCGCCTCCACCGAAACCACTCAAGATACCTCATGAAACCTGAGGCCGGCGGGAACAGACAGTATCAAAGGAACAGGTAGTTCTCCACACAGTTTCGGTGGTTCAGTGGTCCGATTTTTAATTTCGTTATATTATTGGTTTTTTTAACAGTTTGTTTTCGTGGAGATGTATGCTGAACATCATCGGGTTTCTGGCCTTGCCAAGAGTAATGTAATTTTGTAAACATGTGTCTGAGCGCATGTGTGAGTGAACATCCCGGAATTATTTATTGGGTCTCCTAGGTACACATGCGAGCTACTCTGGCGTTGTTACAAACACAGTTTTATAATTCCCCGTAGTCGCCTGCGCTACAGTTTGTTTATAGGCATTTCTTAAAAGTTTTAAAATGTACTTCTCGTGTTTAAAGCATTTCCGAGAGCACAGTATCTCCTGATTTTTACGCTTAAGGTCGACATATTTTCCCGGTTATCGGCCCACAACGAGAGAGGGCTGCAATTAGAAGAGCATGACCGAGCGTGCCGATGATATAACTTAATTCCCTACATCCCTGATCATGCCATTAATAACCCGAAAACTAGCATTTTCACACAACTGGAGACCAAGGGAAAGCCCGTTTCGATACCTCAGCTAGGGCTATATTACCGTCAATCAATGAATGCCGTTTGGGGGGGGGTCCTGGGAGGGTAGAACTATTGACCAATACTCCCGCCTGATGAACCGGACGGAGGTTGAGTACACTGGACCGGGGAGCGAGACCCGGCCTTTAAGTAAGAATTCAGTCATCCCCTCCCGGTTGCCGTGGCCAAAAATGAGTTACGTGATCACAACTTTATGTCCACTGTCATTCGCATTCCTCCTCCTCCTCCTCAACGCACTCTGAATTTTTAGCCGATCCCTCTGGTCCGAAAGCACCCAGGGAGGCAGGATAGAGAAACGACGCGGGTGGGGGACGAGCACGGCTAATCAACCAAATTGCCAAACTGAATATACCGACTCGGGAATGGGCGAGCGCAAGCTCTATGTCGACGGGTGTCTGACAAATGGCTTTTTCCCCCACTGTGGTGGCTGTCGCATCACGAAAATGTTGGCGCTCTTCGACCATCTTTCGGTTTGCACAGGGCCGACTGGGTGGGGCGGCCATAACGCACGCGTGTGCGCACTGTGTTTCCCGGCGCCAAAAGCATTCCCGCCTAATGGCTAGGGAGCCTTCTTTCCTCCTCCTCCGCCTCCATCTCTGCCGTTCCGTCAGTGGGTGCGTGCAGCCATTTGCGACCATCCTCGTGCTGATTCGCCTGCTGCCGCCGCCACCGCTCACATCCGCCCTGACTTCGTTGCTGGGTTAGTGTTTCCGAGTCTATTCTCTCCCCTCCGCGTCCACCATTATCCTCGGTTTAACCGTTTTGTTTTCCGTGAAGCCAGCTGCTACAACCCCCCCCCCCGCCCCTTCTAGCTGGCTACGCATCGCGCCGTGTTCTGCACTATCGATCGATCGGTCGCTGTCTCGTCCGCGTTTGTGCGGACGCCCATGCGCAGTCAATTATTGATTATTATGGTATATCGCAAGCGGTCTGACTTTTATTGATTTGTCCCCGTCGCTAAAGCCACATCTGGCGGCGTTAGACACCGCAGCAAGTCTGAAACCGGGGCGACTAGGGCTTTAGCAGCCTGTCGAATTGGTATGAGAACTTAGCTTTCAGTGGTTGTGCGCTGCTGGGAGAGACCTGAAGGACTTGGGCCGTATCTAAGGCAAGCGATCATGGACTTGACCGTCAGCCAAGTAAATCGGTCGGTTTTCCAGCAGAACTTGCTCTCCTTAAGTCGGCCCACTTCGATATGTATGTTTAGGTGTGAATTGACATCAGCTCCCAAAAAGACAACGATCGGTAGAAGGACCTCAAACACATACGACCAGCCAAAGGTGCCTGTCTTACGGGAAAGGTGGTCATAGGGGTTTTACGGTCGGGGCCTATGTATGCATAGAAGAATGGCAAAATAAGTATAGATATTTGGTAACTTCGTTTTTCAGGCGGAAAGGTTTTGATGCACTGACATATAACAACCGAATTTAAGCAGGACAATTAAAAAGAGTAAACAACGATCGCTTCTCAACTGTCAGAGCTGAGTCCTTGTAGATAATGCACCAGACCGTCTACAACAGACGACCCAACCTTGTACGATGAAACACCAAAGCGAAGTAGTCGTGTTGGACCAAAATCGACTTAAATAAGTATTGTAACTACTCTTTGTACGCTGCAGATGCTTTGGGTCCTTCACCCGACCCTCACCCAAAAAATTCCGCAAACGAACTGCAGCGTTACCTAGATTTTTGAGTCTGGAGTAAGGATATCGTTTATGGCCGGGATTACTCATTCGGAAGGGGGGGGGGAGAGCAATTGTACTAAAAGAAAGCAAAGCTGGCGATATTTTTTGCACGTGTCAGAGAAATAAAAAGATCTCGAGTCGGGTTTCGTTCCTACCTGCAGGTTGCATGCGTCAACGTCTTCAGGTAGTCTTCCTCCAACTCCTGTCTACTATCTTTCGAGCTTTATTCCATCTCTGACTTAGTTAGGTGATTAAGGTTTTGTGAACGAAGTCTCTTTGATACTTCTAAACATCCAGTAAGGTATTGTTTCCTCGGACTTGTTTGCCCCTCGGTGGTCTATAAATTGACTGCCTCAACAGTTTCATGGTGTTCACTTAATCCTGTAGACACATTCCTTGCCATAAAAGTTAACCGTTTTCGGAGCTCAACACTAAGGCCACGACGGACCAGTACAGTCGTCTGGTCCCTGTTGTCAACGCCTGAAACCCCCAGCCGACTCTAATCGCCACGCTACCTCCATAAGTAGCATGTTTAGTGGATGTGTTCTGTTGGCTTCAGTGAACATCTGTCCGTTTTCTTCGATATTTCCGGTGTCCGAAAAAACTGTATACGCACTTTGACGGCCGAATCAATACTTCTTTCTCGATACTAGGCCTTGAAGAGTTTTAATTTCAGCAATATGTGGGGCAACCCACACAACCATCGTGATGTAAGATCCCACCTCGAGGGGATCTTGCCAAACAGCTGGATTAGACGAAGGGGTTTTTATAGAATACCCTTCACACCCCTTGACTACGTCACTAATCTGGCAAATGTCGACCAATTGAAAGTAGCCATTGCATAAGAATGCGCCCAAACATCAGAGGAGATGCATCTTGATGTTCACGATTTCATCGTTTGGTGTTATCGGGAGTGTCTGGACCAGAGCAGACAGCGGCATCTGGAAAACAGAAGTTGACAAAATGATTAAACAGGGTTTGTTGACTCTGTCTCCTCATGAACATCAAGTGTATTTTAATAATCACCAGCTGTATAATTATTTCCAAGTGTGTATGTGTGTGTTTAGACCTTTTTGTGACAGGGTGTTTAGGCCTTCAGGTCGACCCCTTGCAGCTCATTGAACCAGAAGAAAAAAAACCAGGCGATCATTCGAAACTAGAGACTGCTGTATGTTCGCCATTGCTTACAAACTGATACTTTGCAGATATGACGCCTGTTCGTCTTGTTAAGGTTGTAGACAGGGTCGTAATGGCGGAAACCTCTGCTCCTGAAGACTGTTCAGTCCGCCGTGTTGTTTTGTAGTCTGCTTGTTCACTAGCGCCCTTCGTAGACTGCTGACTAAACTGTGCGAAGTTCGCTATCAACAGCCGTCTTTGAGTCCTGAGAGAGTCTCTCTTTTTCTGTGGTCCATTTTACATCCGGGAGTCTCTCATTGGCATTGATCACAAACCGCTCTATAGCACTGAAAATATGCATCCACCTTGGTTTTTGGTAGCGGCGTGCAATAAAAGGTTGGTCGACTTTTAGCGATGCGCGGGGCACTCTTTAATCTGGAGTTCGCCATGAATGGTGTTGCGTGTTTACGTCATTCTGAGCTCTCTTTTTAACGAGAGTTGTGATCACTCCGGATTAACGCATTGATCCCTCCCCCGACAGTGCTATTTAATGCTTGAATTCCAGTGCTCTTCATAACTCCAATGACAGACATGTGCATTGCAACAGTCGAGCTTGCGAGTCGAGACTATTGGGTAGGTTTTAGATGCTTTGGGCGTATAAGTTGGTTCCAGGAAAGAGCCTTCACTGGTCATGTTGCGGGAAGAGCACGCCCCACGGAACGTGCTCATACTAGAATCCTCGCAGGCAGTCGCACAGCGACTAGTGGTTCAGGTAAATGAGACGGTATGACTGACTGATGATGGCTAATAAGCCAGAAACGACAGTTTCCGTCTCCATCGTCCTTATCGGTTGCGATTAGGATGAGTGAGTTCCGTAAGAAGGCGATCGGTGAGCGTCTCTCTACAACTATATACTCCCGATCGCAACCGACAGGACAACGAACTCCTGGCTCAGTGGTTATGGGCGTTGGACAGGTCGCAGGATCGAACCCCAGGTGTCCCACACTTCGGAGTTGGGTATGACCGACAGATGACGACTTATAATCCGGAGATGGCCATCCCGTGTCCCCTGTCTTTGTCGGTAATGTTACTCTGCCCTATATATCAATCAGTGGAGGATGATGACGCAGTCTGTTATGTCCTTGCTGATATATAATCATGCATCAAAACGGCCAAGTGAGGATTAATGTCGGAGACATCGACCCACACACAATCTTTAGGGGCGAATATCTAACCAAGTACGAAACAGAGATGGCATGCGGGGGGGGGGGGTTACTTGAATATTCTGCCTCCGGGCCACCTCGATGATGCGGAAAAGCCCTCCGTGCAATCGCTTGTCTCCTTATAACGACTCGAAATAGTAATATACTACCTCCCGTATAGCGATATTGTCTTGTGAGGCGAAAACGTGCGCTTCATAATCTAGGAGGTCTACTGTGTACTTGTATCGACACTTTCTGCAACAGGCTACTGTCGCATGCGAGTGGCGTTCACCGACCACAAGACGTAATACAGGCGTTCGTTATGCCTAGGAGTTCGAAGCCCTCGCAGGCGTTTACAGCGATGAGCAGTCAGTAGGTGCGGAGCGTTGCCGGTCAAGTCAGTGGAGACCATGACGGCAAGTTCTGGTCTTATCTGTCCAGTTTGGGATTGTGCCTTTTCAGCTGGCGATTACATTTAGGCCAGGGATGACGATTCCAGTCGATAGCACCTCGCGGTCAGACTCGCATTAACATACAAGAAATATCGATTGATTTGCATAGCCGGCTAGCGCTGCTATGGTAACTCGCGCGAAGAGGTTCACGTAATCTATCCAGCAAACAGCAACAGAGACGGCGTGTGTATGCTCATCGTGACTTCGTGACAAAGCCCAAAATTCCACACCTGAAATCTCTCAGTTGGCAGTTTGTCGATAAAGGGTCGCTAGTGCAGATCAATAAACTTCCAACTGGTGTGTGTGTGTGTGTACTAGGTTGGGCGGCTTCGCACTGGAGGCCTGAAGTTTATCGACAGACTGCGCCGGATCAAAATGGAGGCCGGATTGACTCCCGACAGACACCAATCAGGCCATTCAGACTCCGCGCAAGTCTACAACTGTGTTGCTGCATATGGGGAAGTGCGGTGGCACGCGCTTGCTTTCACGTCACGTCACGCAATGCACCCAATCTCGCCACCAAACGGTTGACAAACTCGAGCAGTCGGCTGGTGTGTGCGAGAATGAGAGAGAGAGGTTAACATTGGGGAGGAATCGTCACGACACAGCGAACTTTTCACTATAGTAAATCTGACGCGTTTGAGTCTGTCATGCCGCGCTAAGAGTCGTGGCTTGGAGGGTGTCAACTGACTGTCAGTCCGTCGCCTTTTTCTTCCTCCACTTCCTCAGCCCTTAAGCAGATGTCTGGAAGGGCGTTCACCGATCGTGTCACGGAGCTCACTCCTGCCGTTGTGTCTTGGGGTTCTCCCTCGGGCCCCAACCAGCAGCCCGACAGTG